GTTGAAGTACAGTGTTGCAGCAGATCAATAATTGACAACACAAGGGTCACAAATCAGCAATTTCATTTATCCAGCAATCAAGGGGTGAACCACAGCAGCCATACATGAAAGGAAAAAATAAAACTGCATTAGCAAGAATTTAAACTGAAATCATGAAAAAATGTTTGAAAATATGTGTTGCTCATTTAACAGGTAACCCCATGCTCTAATTTGTGGCCTTTCTCTGGCTCTTGTTCAGTGAAGTCAAGCAAAAAGACAGGTGTATGACATTAATTTGTGGTTGTCAGGGAAATCATGTGAAAAAAAGACCCTCCCCAAGCTCTCCTTGCATAACTACTGCCAATTTGAGGTCACTTTCATTTTTGCTAGTCCCAGCTGACTAAGGCTTGATAAATTTGGAGAAATACAAGTATAATAAGAGCCTCTGAGCCCAAATTGAAGTTATAGGTTTTTTCCCCCTCCTGGTAAAAAGGTTTGATTAAGATTGAATGCAGAATTGTCATCTGGGGAAAATGATAATATCTGACTTACATGCAAATAGTTACTTGAGGCACTTCTTACCCAAAACAAGTGACTCACCTGCTCCATCAGTTTAAGTTGTTGCTCTAAATTTTCCAGATGCTCTTTTGCAGTTTTCTGGTTAAAATCTAGTCCCAGTGCTTCTTTGAAAGTCTGCATGGCTTCTTTCAAAAGACCTTCTTTTTCTTGTCTGAATATACATCAACAGTTCAAAAGAAAAAGAGCAGAATAAAATATGGAATATTAGACACATAATGTTCTAATTATTATGTAGGTATAACAGCATAAACCAAACAATTTTGAAAAATATTTTAAGAGCATACACATAGAATGCAGAGATCACTGTGACATAGAAGTAGCTACAGAAAAAAGTGAACTATTTCAACTTCTGACATAAAATTAAAAGATCTTGTTATAAAAATGTTTTCCTCTTAGAGAAAAGTTAAATTTAATATTCAGTGATGTCAGTAACTTAAAAATTAAGATGCTTTGTAAAAAGTAAAACTGCTATGTTGATTAACCCAGTCAACAGGAAAACCTTGTCACATTCACAAGTGAAGATAAGAATGGTACCTTCACTGCACATGGTGAAGGTATCATGGGTTTGAAACTAAAGATATTCTGTATTTCATCAATCTCCAATCATGATAAAAAGAAAATAAAAATAAAATTAAATAAAAACTAGACCACTAGTACTAACTGTATTCCAAGTTCCACAAGAGTTGCTGTGAGATATTTGTTGGCATTCCTGTGGCTTGGACAAATTTTTAGTGCATCCTTAAAATTCTTAACAGCAGTGGTAAGCTGGTCTTGGTTGGCAAACCTGAAAAAACAATGAATTGACTTAAAAATACCTAAACAAACAGTTAATGCAACTCATCGTGTAAAGGCAAAATTTGTTCAAGCAAAAGTAACTCACAGTAATCTCTAACAACTTTTACTTGGCCTGAATCAACCTTGACTGCCTCTAACCAACTATTGTCACTTACATCAACTGACTAAATCGGGGTAATGTCACAAATGACAAATAATTGGGATAAGAACAGGATAACATGTGTGACTGATGCAAAGTTTTGACCTTTGCAAACCTAAGCTAAACAGGTGTAACATGCAAGATAACATGCAATGTACTGTTGCAAAAACAAAAAGGAAATACAGCCCAAAACAAATTGAGGAGTGACCCATGGAAACTGAAAAAGGAACCAACATTAAAAATAAACTTCTAAAAGGTGAGAAACTGAAATAGAGGAACTGTAATTGACTCACAGAGCTCCTTGTGCCACCATTGCCTCAACATTTTTACCATCAATTTGCAGTGCATGCTTGAAGTATTTCAAGGCAGTGTCATAATTTCCTGTCTTAAAATGTTCCACTCCCTTGGCAGTGCTAAAAAACAAATAATTTTAAGACCCTTAACTTGACATCATAGTTTCTTAGAAAAAAATGTGTAGTGACCTTTGAGTTTAAGAGAAAAGTAAAGCACCAATAAAAAGACCTTATTCACCATCAGAGAATAATGAAAAAATTGCTCAGTAGAACACAGAAAAATTGAAAAATCGATTGATACTTTCACCTTTAATGGACTGAATCGCTTTGCC